TGTTACCTTTTTTTTTTGGGGGGGGGCCCCCCCCTATTAATCAGGTGCTCGGATTAGAGCTCCATGCTCGTTTAGTGAGTATGCTTACGTGTGCGTCCGTGTCTGTGCATGTGTGCATGTGCCCCTGTGCCTGTGTATGCGCATGTACGTATCTGTGTGTATGCATACGCAAATGTTTGCGTACCTGTACATGGATACGGTATGCGCATGTATCAGTATCTATCTATCTACCTATCTGTCTGTCAACCTTACTATCTACCTAGCCACCTACTTACCTACCTACCTACCTACCTACCTACCTACCTACCTACCTACCTACCTAGCTACCTACTTTCTAGCTATTGACCCACTCACTCACTCACTCACTCACTCACTCACTCGTTCATTCGCGCATTCCTTCGTTCCTTTATTCTCTCACTCATTCTTTCATTCATTCGCTCTTTCATTTCATTCAGACAGTCAGAGTCAGCAAGTCAGTCAGTCAGGCCGTCAGGCATTCGTTCATTCAATTCATTATTTCATTGATTCATTCATTCATTCATTCAGTCAGTCAGTCAGGCAGTCAGTCAGACACTCATCCATGTCATGCATTCCTGATTGTTTGTTCGCTTGTTCCTCGATTTATTTTGTGCGCATGTTGCAGCTCCAAGATGCAGCAGTGAGTTTGTCTTGTATTCTGAATTCTCAACAATACGACTCTTCATTTACACCACATGTACGTGGCATCGTGCCATTTAAGGCCCAGCTTCGCTCCAGTTTCGAGAGGATGGGCACACTGTTCGTGGACACAGTTCCCACTTCCCCTCGCTCCTGGTGCAAAGATGCAGCACAGCGCGAAGCTTTACCTGTCGGGGGCTCAACCCTGTTCCTAACGCCGTTGGCCGTACCCCGCCTTCATTGGCTCAAGACCAAACACCTGAACCCCACGAGGTCCTCGAGCTGCATGTGTGCAGTGATGATCTGCTGCGCACGCCTCGCAAGCAGAAGAAATCTTTGGATCTAATGCCTGATATCTAATATTTGATATCTAGTATCTGACATCAAGTAACTAGTATGCAAGATATGATATATAACATATATACATATATACAGATGTACAGATATACAGATATGCATATATGCATATAACATATTCTATCATATTGTACTCTGTTATATTGTATCTTGTGTTATATAATATTATTTTTTCATCTTATACTATATTATCTTAATTAACTTATCTTATACGATATTATATGATGCTGGGCGTATATATATATATATGTATATATATATATATACATATATATATATATATATACATATAGATTGTACATATGTATATATATATATATGACTACATATGTGAGCTGTAGGGCTTGTGGGGTGAGGGCTTCAGGCTCCCGGAACGAACCGCTCCATCCGCCCCCGGAAGACTACCGGCAGCAAGAACCTGAATGATGGGTTTGGGGTTTAGGGTTCAGGGTTCAGGGTTCAGGGTTTTGGGTTTAGGGCTTGGGGATCAGAACGACACAAGCCATCATGAAGATGCCGTTCACGATTAAAGCAGAAATCATTAAACCAGGCTACCAGTTGTAATCATTATAATATTACGAACTATAATAAGGATATAGTAAGTACGAGTCCAGTAGCAAGGCCAGGGGGTTTTGAGCACTCTGCCTGAAGCTTCAAGCTCTGCACGAGCTTCCGAAGAGAAGCAGTCGCAGTACAGCTGAACTTCTAGTGTAGTCAGGAGGAAAGGGGATAAGCGTACTATGCCCGGGACCTAATAGAGTTTATGCATTGCCGCTGCTAACTATGTCGTAGAAGAAGGGTACAGAAACCCAAGAAGCTGAGCCCAGATTATCCTACAGCCTAAACTATCCTTCGCCGTGAAAGCCCTTAGCCCAAAGTATCTTTAAACCTTGCCTGCCCAAGTCCCAACATCAATCCTCATAGCAACCCCGGTAGCAAGACTTATGCAAACCCTTGAGGCCACCCCTCCAGCTCCAGTAGCCCTTATCAGCGCGGAGCCTGTTGACGTTGGGCTGCAGCTTCGGAAGCTTGGCTTTGGCAGTCGCCCTGCCATCGCGAGGCATCGCAAGCCTTGGCCTTGGGCCCTCGGAAGGTGGGGGCTTTAGGGTTTGGGCTCAGGGTTTAGGGTTTAGGGTTTAGGCTTTAGGGTTTGGGCTCAGGGGGCTTCCTAAGGCTGAAAGCCGCTGCTGTTTTTAGACGGGCGTTTAGCTTAGGGCTTAGGGCGCCTCCGTCCATCGTGTGACACCGGCCTTGCGCATGGGTCTCCAGAACTCTGGCTGGAGGGTTTTTTCAGGGTTTATATCCGGGGTTCAGGGTTTCAAAGTAGTCTGCGCAATGCGGCCGGCTAGACTAGGTCACTGTTTATGGCAGGTAGCTATGCCCGCGCAGTCTTTGCAGCAGGCAGTGAAACTAGGCTCCAGGCTGCAGTTTCCGCAGCGAAGCCGCTAAAACGAAGCTGTCTGAAAGATGTACTTGATGGTTTGATGTACCAACGAACTGTCCCTAGAAGTAGAGGTGCTCTCCAAAGTTTCTCTGAGGCTGCTATATAGGTTTAGGGTCTACCGGTCTACTGCCGACCTGGGCCAAAAGCTGCAGCTTCACAGGTGGAAACCCTGACTCAGGTCAACTCGAATCCGTCAAACGGATTTCCTGTTCCCTGCAATCCTTTTTCGATGGCGATATTGAAATCATTGAAAGTCGCCTCAAAGGCGGAGGTGTTCCAAGAACCGCTGTCATAAGTTGTCACGGTATCTAAGCGAAAATCTGCACAGGCTTCAAATCGCATGTGCACAGAACTTCCTAGCTGAGCCCTTCAGTCTCCGGTTTCAGGTTTTTTCAGTGGCGAGTTTGACGAATTCCTCGCCGACCGTCCTTTTGAATGTGGATCCGGTCCGCTTCGCATTTTCTTGTGTACTTCTACATATCGGTAGTTGTCTTGTCTTCATCTTGTCTGTTATTTTTTTTTTGAGAAAGACTCAAGGCACTCAGTTCTGCCATTCGCAGGTGCTTCCATCTTTGGGGATGCACGGATTCCTTCGCGGCGCCTTGTGCCCCGGGGTGAGCTTAAGAAGCTCCAGGGATAAGGGCCCCCGACCGTGAGTTCAGGGGCTTTTGGCTTTAAAGGGTTTAAGGTTCCTTGGGTTCAGGGGCTTTTGGCTTTAAAGGGTTTAAGGTTCCTTGGGCTCAGGGTTTTGGCTTTAAAGGGTTTAAGGTTCCTTGGGTTCAGGGTTTTGGCTTTAAAGGGTGGAGCTGTGCTGAGTGCTGCGCTCTGCGCTCTGGCTGGCACAACGCCTGGGGTCCTCACCCGGCATCTCTACAGTTGCGATTGCCAGCTCATAACTGCAAAGAGAACAGAAATGAATATAGTCTTCAGTTAAAGCAGTGACGGGATGCAGAAAACTAGTGACTAGAATTCTGCTTCAACTATATGACCACTGGCTGACAGGCTGACCCTAGAGCTGCTGTGCTAACTGACGATCTTCGTCTCTCACCACGCGGCAGCGCGGTGGGACGCCTCCCACAAGCCGCTTTGAATCGATTTCGGAACGATCATGACAACACGTCCTCCCCGGAATCATCGTATTAGCATTCCTGGAACAAGGAAGCTGTTGTTCGTGCCTGCAACAGACACCGACACCCCCGAACACACTGGCCTCACTTACAGTCACAAGAAGCAAATGATCAAACGCAAATTACCAGAAGCATCATCAGCCCCCGAAGGCCACTAAAGCTCCCTGTAAACTGGTCTTGGCCGTCAGCCGTGGTCAATTATTGGACAGCAACAACACTTCTCTGAAACCCCGACGCTTATGTTGCCCCGCAATTGCGCCTACTCCTCATCTTCCTCCTCCATGCTGTTCAAAGCTGAAATGACCTTGAACGCCACTTTGATCACCTGAGAGCAGAGCACACAGGATGCGCTCAGACACAGTTTGCGCTGTTAAACCCTTAGAGGCGCGACCTCGAAAGAGACTCTACCTCTCCACTCGTGCACTTAGCTTGCGACGTTGGGCTCGTGGAGCATGCCTGGTGGCAGATTCAGAGGTGGGCAAGCCCCTAGACGCACACACACACATATGCTATATATATAATGTATGTGTATATATATATATATTTAAATATATATATATATATGCACATTATCACTATATATATACACATATATTATGTACATAATATGTATATATATATATATGTATATATATATATATATGTGCATCAGTATGCATATAATTATGGTTGTCATAATGTGTGTGTGTGTGTGCGTATATATACATATATCTATATATATATATACAGCCATAGATATACATGTGTGTGTACACATTTACATGCTGCGCTAGTACATGTGTAAACTGTGTGTATGTATATGCATATAGTTATATGTATATCAGAACTGACTGCATATCTGTACAACTTTCTCTCCTACTCTAATAAACTTCTTGTGGGAGGGGTCCACGGAAGATTCGTAGAACTTGGCAGTCCATGAGTGCGCCTAGATTAGGCTCCCTTAGGCCCTAAGGCTCCCGTAAGGATCGCATTACCCTCCCGCCTTGAACTACCCTCCACTAAACATCCTATAAAGTTTATGTGCACGAGCAGATATATACATCGACAGATTACCATATAACATAAAGGACACAAAAAACACAATCAACGAGTATTCCCTGATCCAGCCGAGGTGCTAAAGTGCGTGCCCGGCACCTGCCAGAATCTTCGTGGCTCTGCAAGTGCTGAACCCACGTAAACCCCCTCCTCTCTCAGACCGAAACCCACACACTTAAACTTTAAGCCCTAAGCCCTAAATCCGAAACTCGGAACTGGAAGCTCTAGACCCTAACCCCACCTACATCCCCAAGAAAAGAAAGGGCTCTAACCCGGCCTTCAGGACCTCAGGAGCCTGCGAAAGGGCAGAAAGCTGGCTCGCAACCTCCTTGTCATCTTGGAAAGTGAGAGCTTGGAACTCACCTCGGCTATTGGGGTCGAGGGTTTAGGATAGTGGCAACAAGAATAATAACAGCGGTGTGGATAATAACACAAAAATCAAAAGCATAACAATACCAAAACTGATAATAATACTTAGGGCTTTAGGGCAATGGGGGGCCTGGGAGCTTCCCCCACTGAAGCCCACTGCCTTCCAGTCTTACCGAGCAACGCACAATCCTCTCCGCAGTCGTCTCATTCGCCTTTGCCGACTTCCACGCCTGAGATGCAAGGTCCGGATCACAGCCACCAGCATCATGACATGTCCTGACTCTTAAAATTGAGGAAAAGTGATGAATGTGGACACCACCATAGTCAGAATCGTCTAAAACTATTGCTCTTTATCTTCGTCAGTGTTCGAACTGCTTGCGCTGCTGGTAAAGTTTAAACCGAGTACCGCTATGATTGCCCATCGTATTCCTGGCGACGGTACGAGTCATGACACGGATACGGCTGCTTGCAGTGTGAAACGTACTGCTCGCACTCCAGCTGTTATCGTTGTTCTCACTAGTTGTTAACGGTATAGCATGCTTACCCACATGAGTCTCCATGGCAGCATTCGCACCTGTGTTTGTATCAGGACTGGAACACATGCGGTATGAGCACTAGCATGCACTAGCACTTGCATGAACAAAGGCCATGGACGTGCTATCACTGCTCCTCCTTGTGTGTCATATTGCGACGATCGTGGATGATGTTACATGTTACATGTTCTTGTATAAACCAAAGACAGGATCCTCAATATGAGGACCCCCTATATAAATAGGATATGTACCATACCCATTCCGTTGTCAGCATGACTTTTTCCTTCCGTCAACTTGAAACTCCGAGCCCCCGGCCACCGGGGCTCGCAGAACTGCGACTTTGGTGTCTGGAAGAGCCGGCGGCGCTTCACCCTGCTGAAGCAGAGCGCTGTACCACTGCGTGGTTTCCTGGGCGAGGGGCTTAGGGTTTAGGGTTTAGGGTTTAGGGCTTAGGGTTTAGGGTTTAGGGTTTAGGGTTTAGAGTTGAGAGTTTTTCGGGGGGGTTTAGGACCAGTCTCACTGATAAAGAGAGAAAGGCACATGGATGTAAATCTGGAAGCCCCCAACCTACAGCTCAACCTTGACAAGTGGCATGTACATGCTCCAAGGAAGATAAAGCCCCCGGACTGAGGGCTTTCCTGATGGCCTGCATCACAGGTACTGGGTAGATGGCAGGAGTCAGACCGACCGTGCAGGTCTCACTGCCGGTTCTGGGAACTGCTGGTAGCTTGCTGGATAGGCACTTTAGCTACTTCCCATCTCTCTCACCTTTTTTAGTCGCGTCTTCCGGCGAGTCGTCAGTGCTTGCAGAAATCGGCCTCGTCTCCGTCCCCTGCATGGGCATCCAAGAGCTCTGCATAGCGTGCTCCTTCTACACCCGGCAGAGTCTGTGCCAGCAGCGCCAAGCTTTCGGCAAGGCCTCCGAACGAGCAGACACTCTGCACGCAGGGCAAACCGCACATTGCGTTCACTGCATGCCAGTATTGGTCTCATAATACCTATACTATTTTGGGGGTTCCTTATTATATACTTATAAAATAATATACCCAAAACCCTATTCAAACTATTACTTCTGTTGGGGGCAGCAGGCCTGACTTGGCAAACGCTGCTTGCACGTCCACTTGGAGTGGTAGCAAGCTTCGAGGATCCAGCAGAACTACCATAGATACCTGCAGCTTCACTAACGGCAATGCACTTGCAAGTTAAGCAGCTTCGGTGCTCACAAATATCTCGAACATTTGGCTCTGGCACAAATATCTCGAACATGTGGCTCTGGAAATAGACAGCTCACCATCAACAGGCTTCAGGGCCATGTGCTGGACTTGACTTCACTCTCAGAAAGCCGACGGGCCGCTTGCTGCCCCTTCGAGGAGGCGACGGCTGCTATCTCCAAACAGACGTTGGCGCCTGGGCGCTGTCGGACGTTGGGCAAGAAACAATCGTGAAACCGGATCTTGAAAATCATAGACATAGTAGGTGCTCAAAGCCAGAGGCCCACGATGGTGCCTTGTGGCAGACGATTCTGACCGAAGTATCCTTCAAGAGTCGCCGTCGTCGTCATCATCCTCGTCGTCGTCGTCGTCATAGCCGTCATCACCGTCATTGGCATAGTGTGTGTTCTTCAGCATCGTTCCCATCGTCATCCGAACCACCACCACCACCACCATCACCGCTGCCATACCAGTATGCACGAGTAATTTCCATCCATCAACATGATCACTGTTGTTATGGCCGCGATGCATAGCCGAATGACGTCTATTGTGGCTCCTGTTGTTCGTGCCACCACGATTTTTCATCAAGACATGGTGCTTCGCATTGGACATCGCCGGGGTGTGCTTACACCACTGGTCACGCTTATTGACATGAATGCTTGCGATCATTACTGCTCGTTCGTGTTACCCTAAATTTGCCCTGATGGTGCTGAGTTTCCTCTTGGTTGATATTACGCATTGCTCTCATTACTCCTCTCTCCCTCTTTTCTTGTTATCGAAGGCTTCCAGCTCTGCTGCGTATTCCTGCTCGCCTGCTTCTATCTGCCGCTCACGACCATCTCATCCTAGGACACTCCTCACTCTGATGAACACCCCTCTTATACATCCGTCTTTCCTTCCTCTGCTCTGAATCAACCAAAGGGGCCGAAGGAGTGCCCCGCCAAAATGTAGGGACCAGAAGGTTGGACCTTCTGAATCTCGGAGAAGAAGAGCTCGGCAAGCTCCTCTTTGCAAGCTGCAGGCTTTATGGGCCCAAAGCCTAGGCCCTTTATGGGGCAGTAGGCTGTAGGCGCTGAGGCCTTTTGAGACCAGTTGCTTCGAAGCTCTTGCTGAAGCTCAGGCTCTGGGATTTCGGCTTGAGGCGCCAGGCTTTGGGGGCCTTGACTCGGGTTTTGGGGAAGCAAGACAGACATGGTGGGCTCTCCGGGCTGCTCGAGATTACAAAAACCGCGGTGTTGGGATCGTGGTGATTTGTTTTGGGCTTTGCTGAAATGTACTAGTATGATGAGGCAAAAACGAAAATGGAACAAATGTCCGTGGCCGCAAAGGTGTAAACCCTGAACCGCAGATCGCCCTCTGCACCAAACTCCCGAGTAAGTCATAAAGGAAACTAACACTCTGTTGATATTGATATAGCCAGAAGACCCTGTAAGACCTTGTATGCGATCCGGTCCTTGAGACTGCTGGGCCACTCTTCTCTGGGGATACTCTTGGGCCAGCTCAGGCCGTAGCTGGCCAGCGCAAGGCGCGCGGCGAGGGTTCTAAAGCTTCCCGCTTGCATGCCTCCGCAGGGATTAGGCTTTGGAGTGACAATGGAGGCGGAAGCAAACGGCTCATCAAACACCTCCGAGCTACGGCTCGAAAGAGTTCAACCGCCCAATTCTCCGGGGAGTATCTCTGCGCCTGCACCTGGTACCAGGAACACTGGCTTGCTAGCCGCAGTCTCGGAGCCTGGCATACAGTGTCAATTGGGCTGCAGAACGATCGATGCATGCATGCTGTCTTGAGACCCAAACCCTGGACACTTACGCGAACGCCTCCATTGCACAGCGCGTTGAGCGCTTCCACGAAGGGCTCTTGCGATTGCTGTGGGGCTGCGGAAGTGGATACGGCTGGCGTCGAAGATTCTGGCGCATCCCCAAGCCTCAGTGTCGCTCTTATGGCAGCGAAGCCTCATTGCCACAAAGACAATCACACAAGAGCACCATCCCCAGTAAGAGCCCGGCTGGCCATTGATGAAGCCAGCAAGTTCCTGAGCTTTCGGAACCGACTGCGAGCCGTCAAAGCAGAATCCTGACAATCTCGTGGAACGGCAAGTTTGTCCAGGGCATTCCAAGCGGCGGTGATCGTGGGATAATCAAAAACCATGGAGTTCGGGAGATTGACACCGTCGAACTCCGTCTGCAGCCGATTTCTGAACTCCACACCTGCACACAAGCGTTTCGCGAAGACACCTTCCGCCATTTTGAGGCTCTTGGTCCGGCCTGACAGAGAATCCATGCCAGCATCCATCAGAGGATTGTCGGCTTCTAGGTCAGGAGAATCGACTACCTGGAGCGGTCTGCGCAATGAGCAAAGACGGCCTTTGCCTGCAACAGGCTGAGACCTCAACCGGTGCCCCGTTCCAGTGCTCTGGATGCAGTTTGTGCAAAGACTTCTCAAAGTGTAAAGCCTAAATGCCCAAGCCGCCACCCCGAAACGCAGGACCCATAAAACCCTGAGTCTCCAAACCTTAAGCCCTTAAACAAGGCACCTCCCGCGCCAGATCTCTGAGGCTGCTGAGAACAGCCTCAGGACAAGCGTCAACATCCACGGTGTGAATGAGGGGGTCACTGGAAGCTTGCTAGAAGGGTGCTACTCGGGTTACTAGAACGGAATTATAAAGGCAACTAAAAAGAGCTCGCTACTACAGTTTACAGCACTACAGGGTACTGCGGCGGATGCAGTAAGGCGATCTGGCCGAACAATGTAACAACTACTTGGACGAGTTTACATGCTACGACCTCTAAGTTGCTCTTCGGCACTGGCCGCAAAGCAATAGTTACACCGTTATCCTGACAATGAGAATGAGGGTAGTTTTCTAAACTAGGGTCCCTTTGGGGGGTCCTTTTTATAAGGGTGCCGTACTATGTTGGGGACCTGAAAAGGGATCCTAATTTAGAGAATTACCCATGACAAGAATGAGCGGCAACGCTCGGAGCCCCTCGCCCTGATTTCGAGCCTACAGCCTTTTTTGCCTCAAGCAAGCCCTGCACCTCACAAAATCTGGGAACCACAAGCAACCCTATGAACCTTTAAAAACCTCTTCAGCCCCACAAGCCCAACAAGCCCAACAGAGGAATCCCCAAAAACGGCCCCGAAACCTAATCCTTAAAGCCGGAAATCCTGGAGCCGGTTCAGGGTTGAGGGTTTAGGGCTTGGGGTGACATCCTGAGCAAAAAAAGCCACAAGCCCTGAACCCTTCAGCTGCCAAGCCGAAGATCCCTAGAACCCTCGAAGCCCGAACATCCCAAAGACTCCAAGGACAACAGCCCGAGAAAGTCAAGCCTCAAAGTCAAAAAGCTAGTTAACCGCGAAACTGGAAATCCTGAAGCCCCTAAACCCCTAAACCCCTAAACCCAAAAGCCTAACCCCTAAGCCCTAAACCCAAAACCCTAACCCCTAAACCCGATATCCTGAAGCCCCGCCAAAAAAACTGTTGACCCCTCGGGCCCTTGAACCCGCAGGCCCCGAACCCTCAAGGTTCCTTTTCTAGGAACCCTTGTAAGAACCCTGATTAGGGTTTAGGGTTTAGGAAACCCTTCTAGCAACCTGAAACCCGTATGGATCCCGTTTGGTGTCCGTCTAAGAAACCCTTTTCAGGAGGCGTTTTTGGCATGTGCCACCCTTTTCAGGGACCCTTTCTTACCCTTTTTGGTATACACCCTTTTTGGGCAATCCTTTCTTACAAAGGCCTTTTTCGTAACCCTTTCTGGTAGAAACCCTTTCGGGGAACCCTTTCTTATAGAACCCTTTTTGGGAGCCCTGTCTGGTATGTAATGTAGGGGCCTGAATAATTCAATACAGGGTTTTGGGCTCCTTTCTCATATAGAAGTATCATAAGGAACCCCAAGGAAAAATAGTCGAAATTATT